AGCAAAACCAAACATGGGTATTAAAAAGGGCCCTCTGGGGCATTTTGAACCTCAAGTTTCAGCTGAATAAAATGTTAGGATAGGGTTTTGTTAAGTAATAACCACCCTTGTGTTTTTGGCATTTGGGAGCAGAGAAATGTAGGGTTTTCAAAAGCCTAAAAGCTGATGGAGAAATGCAAATACCACTAGTTTTCAGGCACCCCAGAGTGGAATGGATATGTGGGGAATACTTTGATGCTGCCAGGTATCTTGTCAGCATTCAGCAGGTGCCACAAGAAGATTTAAATTTTTGGTGCAGCCAGATACAGTGCAAGCACAAAGGATGGGTTGATCTTTCCATTTCACAGATTCGAAGCAAGCAGAAATAACCAAAATCTATTTTGTCAGCATTTCTGCTCCTCTGAAATCCTGCATCGAGAATTCCTGAAAATGACCTGTGAGACACAGTCAGGCCATTTGCTCCCATCCCCATCTCCTACCTTGTAAAGGCTTATTTTATCTGAATGTGAACCTCTCCCCAAGAATGTCCTGAGGGTTCTTTCATGTGCGGAGGAACCAACATACCTTGCCTAGAGCAGAACCTGCAGCTGCTACTGCTCGCAGCTCCTTGATGGAGGTAGATATGAGAGAATCCCCTTCCATTTCACAGAATCCATGGAGGTTAAGTTGGAAAATGAAGCCTCTCATGGACTTGGTTTTAAAGATCTTCAGGGGTCCCCTCCTCCCCAGCACTTCCCTTCTGAAGAGTTTTTCTGCAATCACGATGCAGTTTCCATCATCACCCCACCAGATTGACTGGAAGTGATGGCTGCTGATGATCTTCCAGAGCTTCTTGAGGAAGGAGCAGGCTGAAGACTGGTTGGTGTTGGCAGAGCTCTCCTCTGAGAAAAAAAAACACATGATGGAGGTCCAGGGTTCATCAGGCAAAGCTTGAAAAGTGTTTTCTTCTCCAAGAGGTCCAGTGGCATCATCCCAGGATGTTCCCGTACCACCTCCTGGGTGGTTGGGAGAAGCTGAAGTCGCCCACCAGTCTGGCTCCTCTGGGTCAGAAGCGCAGGATGTCTCTGGTGAAGGTGGCTCCATTTTAGTTTTTTTTTTTCCCAGTTTGGCTGCAGCTTCCAGCCGGGACCCTTTCGCCGACCAGCCAGGCTCCGTCCTGCCGGTCAGCAGGATGAAGCGCCCTGGCGCAAGCTGCCTGGGAAGTTCTCCAGTGTCACGGTGACACTTGTGTTGCATCACAGTGACATCACAGCGTGGCACCCATCTTGTGGCAACAGGAAGTGGAAGACAGAAGAAATTGCAAGAAAGCCCTGTTTTCTGTTCATGGAGAGAGCTGTTTTGAGCCAAGAGGTGAATCCAACTGTATTTGCATTTGGTGTGTCCTGCTAGGGCAGTGCTGCGTCCCATTGCCTCTGGGAGATGGTGCCCAGGGAGGGATGGGGAAGGCTGCAGCGTTGGGCATCAAAGTGCCCCAGACCTGAAGTTTTTCCCTTGGGCACCTTCCCGCTGTGCAGAAATGCCTGTCCCCTCTTCTATGGAATAAACCCCGCTCTGTGATTTCAGTAGTGCTGCTTCTGTCGTGGCTGTCTGTGTACCCAGGTGATGCTCTCAGCTTTCAGCAGGCTCTCCGTGCTGCTCCATAGGATGAACTAGAAGTGAAATGCCACCTAAATATATTTTGCAATTGAAATAAACTGATGCTCTGTACCCCTGCCCCTTTCTGGATTTGGGTTCCTCTGCTTTTCTTTGTTATAGAACCTTTAGAAACCAAACCAGGAAACTCAATGATGTTCTCTCAACCTTTTGTCAAGCTATCAAACCAGTCCTCTGAGTTGGAGGACCACGACTGTAGGAACAGTGACTTTCCATTTGTGGACAGTGACATTGTAAGGGACCAGCTGCATCAGCTGAATGTTCCTAAGTCCATGGGGCCTGATGGGCTTCATCCCAGAGTACTGAAGGAGCTAGTACAAGTACCCAGGAGCTCGTACAAGTACCGTACCAAGTGTGTTGGCTTTACTGAAGTTTGTCATGCAAATGTGACCATACAAAAACAGGAATAAGGACAATGGTTTTAAGTGTGGTCTGTGGCCCATGAGACAGTGATCAGCCATTCGTGGACTGCTCAGGAGGTGCTCTGAGCAGAGCGATGAAGGGTGTTTTCAACTGAAAATGTGAGCAAGTGAGTTCTTGTGGTGGCTGTTGCCTCTCTGTGCCTCTGCGAGGCCGGAGCAGAAGGTGTCAGTGCAGACCAGCACCCAAGGGTGGCTCTGGCATGGTCAGGCAGGCTCTCCAGTCCTGGTGTGAGGACAGGGCTGAGCACATCGCCACATTGAGCCCTGGCTGGTGGCAGTGGCTGCTCCCTGCCTTGTGGGCTTTGCTCCCGGTGGGACGGACCTCCTGGCTTCCCTCTGTGTGCAGAGAGGTGTTGAAGCCAGGAGGGTGGAAGGGCTTTGCCTGCAAGCGTGGCTGCAGAGGACCGCTATGTTGCCCAAGCAGCGGGCAGGTCCAGCTAGGGGGGGGGTGACTGATGCTCCCACGTGTGTTTTTCACCTTTATTCACATTTACCCTCACATTCGCTGAGATACCTGCCAGGGACAAAGTGTACCTTTGAAAACCCAGCTCTGCAGCAGTGCCACCATCTTACTGTCCCTCCACTGCGACCACCCCAGCACCTCCCATCTGCAGCACAGACATCAGCTATCAGCTGAACCCAGCTATAGTGGACAATGGCAGGGAAGGAGGCAGCAAAACAGATTTTATTTCTCTCTCTCAACTTGTTTTTTCACTCCCTGGTCCAGAAATGCTCTTCAGCCTTGCAGGAGCTGCCTGCTCCTGTGCTATCCTGCCCCAGGTCCCCATCCCCTGCAGTGGCCACTGTCCCCTGGCACCATCCAACAGGGACTTTGCCATTTTTCTTCATTATTCAGCCCTGCCTCTCTCTCTGGACATCTATTCTTCAGGGATTTCTGTGGTACAATATTTAGCTGGATCTTAAATGTTTACCAGTTTAGGACCAACAGGTAATAAATCAACCTTTACAGCAGGCAGCTCTGAAAGGTGACTTAGAGGGTATATCCCTCACTTGAACTACGTCTTGCCGAAGGAAGTTTTAATATCCAAATTATAGCTCTGAGTCTAGAAGGCTTAGAGATCTTGGAGATTTATAGCCCCTATTAATAACCAATTATTTCTCAAACACATTTGCCATGCAGTTAGGCCCAAGCCGTTAGATGACCTGAAATACTAAATGCCCTTTTAAAGTGCGGTGACAAACATCATATATTTTGTGTCGATGCTGGTTTCCCAGCTGTCGTGGTGTGAAAACATTCATGTCTGTGACCCTTGGACTGAGCCATCCATCAGTGCTGTGCCGGACACGTGGAGGGGGAGCAGGAGTCGTTCTCCAGCCCTTTCCTGGGCGGCAGGCTGGGATTGCTTTGACTTGGTGGGTTGTCCTGGCCATGGGGCAAGGGGGCATGTCATCCCACGTTGCTCTTGCTACTGATGGCAGAGCAGCTTCTAAAGCCAATGGGGTTTGAGAGCAGACTTGGAGCAGCCAAGCCCTGCTCCATCATTTTGCAGGATCAGGCCTGTGCTTGTTGCCAGGGCTGAGGTAGGGCCCATCCTGCATCCTCCTGGACCAGCAAAGTCCATCTCCAGGAGCATTAGCTGTTGCGTTCTTGCCGTGGGGAGAGGGCTATGTGGATGCCAGGGAGTGGACCTGGTCTTTCAGCTTTGATCCCTGAGCAAGCTGAGGGATCCTCCATCCAGCAATGCACTGTGGGTCCTGCATGAGTAATGGCATCATGAGTCCAGCATCCCATCTTGGGGCCACCCCCTGTGCCAGCAGCCCCTTTCAGTGTCCAGCACCAACCACTCCATTCCACTTGACGTTGCCTGTGATGCGTGATGCCCTTTCCCCATGTCCCAGTACATGTCCCCGGTCACGGTGAGCTGTACTACTTCTCTCCACAGCCCTGTTTGCAGTACTGGCCTGAGCCGGGGCTCCAGCAGTATGGCCCAATGGAGGTGGAGTACGTTTCCGGAGCAGCGGATGAGGACATCGTGTCCCGTCTCTTCCGAGTCCAGAACATCACACGGGTGAGGGTCTCTCCTCTGGTTGTTCCACGCTAGCGAAGGGTGGTCAGGTGGGGCTTCACGCGTGTCTGTGTGTGTGCGCAGGTGCTCCCCAGGCATCTCCCAGTACAGAGGTCAGAGTTGGGTGAGCTTGTGTGCAGGGAGTGGATTGCATTTGTTAGCGTCTGCATTGGGGAAGGGCTGGGGCAACACCAAGAGCTTTGTATGAGTGAAGACCTTTCTTGGAGAGCAGAAGGATGATGTATCTAGTGAGGCTACACAGTCCTAGAGCTTGTCTTTGCCCAGCTGGGTAATTCTCCATATAAACTAACTCAATAGTGCTGTAGATGCTGGTGTCTTCTTCAGCCTAATCTAGCTCCTCCAGAGGATGCAGCCCCAGCTCTCCTCCTGGCAGAGAGGAGCCTGTCAGATTGCTGTTGGCTCCATCCAACCTTTCTGGAGTTCACAGCTCCTTGCAAGCTCTGTAGGAAGACATTTCTCATCCTGCCTGGAGGTCCATCTCTGCCCTGCCACACATGTATCACAGGATGGAGACTCCCCAAGTGGGGACAGCAGCTCCCCTGGGACCAGCAGAGCCCTTTTCCCGCAGGGTGAGAAGATCCGCACAGGTTTGAACCTGTTGTCCTTGTTGCGTTGACAGTTGGCTGGTTCAGCTTGCCTTTAAATGAAGAGAAACACAGTGAAATTGGGAAGGGACGGGGACTGCAATGAACAGCCTGCATGCGTGCAGAACTGTACGCAGAAAAAAAAGCTGATTTAACTATAAAAGCCAGCCATGAAGAGGTGGCATCCCTGAGGTCTTTAAATCTCCTGAGGGTTGCCAAGAAGCTGAGGCCAGTGCCCCAGTGGAGGTTATCGGGCAGATGGGAATTAGGGAGCTTGGAAGGGAGCGTGCAGCTTGGCTGATGGCCCAGCTGGGAAGGGTGCTTCTGCGTGGGAGCTGGGGTCAGAGGAGATAAATCCTGATTATCTGGACTCAACACAAAGAGGGTTTTGGTTTGCGCTCCCGGTGGGAGCATCTGGCATTTCCTGGGTGTCAGCACAAAATCCTTCACCAAATGTGCTTTGCTGTCAGGTGATAGAATATACCCCGTGCTAAATTAAAATGCAGCATGATTGAAATCTCTGGATCTGAGAAGAGCTTTCCCCATGGAGCAGATCGCTGGAGGAGTGCTGGTAAATGCATGGAGCCGCGCCGGAGGAGAGCTGGGCGTTGGGGGGTGTCACAAGTCCTCCACAGCCAGACAGAGCATTCACCTGAGCTTCAGAATGGATCCCAAAGCTTTCCTTTCTGGGCTGCCAGAGCAGTTTTCTCCTGCTTTAACTCCACTTACTTGTTTCATCTTCACCCTCTGCCGTCCTGGCTTCCAGCTGGAATCAAATACTCGAGCCTGGGGAGGTCAGCCCATCCAGCCACATCGCCAGCCCACATCGGAGCTTCCAAAAAGGTTCAGAAAGGCCTCTGTGCATTTGGGATGTGCTGGTTGGAGTGGGTACCACATGCCCCCAGCACCCACACCCCCAGCTGGGGCTCCCTGCAGAGTCACAGGAATACCTGGTCCTGCTGATTGGAGTTGGTCTGGTGCTCACCCTGCTCATCAGGCATGGGGTGGACAGAGCCCTCCAGAGCTGGGGATCCCCCATCTGTGTCTGATCACCCCTTTCTCCTCCAATGTGTGCTGCCAACACATGTGCCACTGAGGCCTGAGATGTGGCTGGAGTGTGTGACCCTTGGTTTCATCCCATCAGGTAGTCCTGAGTACTTCTGAGCAAGAGCCCCACATCTGGCTGGCTAAAGCCTGGCCTCGTTTAGCTTTGTGGATGTTATCCTCCTGGATCCTGCTAACTAGATTAGGTTTCAAAACTAACCAGATTACCAGGGTATTAAGGCGTACTTCCACCACTCCCTGCCTCTGTGGGTGGCAGCTTCTCATCAGGCTCCTGGTTTACAGTGAACACAACAAAAACACTTCCCCTGGGATCTTCTGCATGCAAGACAAGGACGTCATGGAGAAGCCTTGGGGAGGCTCAGGGGTCTCTGTTGTGGTTTAAGCCCAGCCGGCAACAAAGCACCGTGAAGCTACACATGCTCACTCCTCCCCTCCGGTGGGATGAAGAGGATAAAATATAATGAAAAGCTCATGGGTTGAGACAAGACTGGGAGGGATCACTCACTGGTTGTGGTCATGGGCAAAAAACCAGACTCAACCTGGGGAAAAAACATAATCAATTTAATTTACTACCAATCAAATCAAACCAAGGATAATGAGAAGTAAACCCAAAGCTTAGAACACCTTCCCCTCACCCCTCCCTCCTTCCCGCCTCAGCCCCACTCCCGGTTCTCTCCCCCTCCTCCCCCCGGCGGCGCAGGGGAACAGGGGACGGGGGGCGGGGTCGGTTCCTCACACCTTGTCTCTGCCGCTCCTTCCTCCTCAGGGGAGGACTCCTCGCTCTTCCCCTGCTCCACCGTGGGGTCCCTCCCACGGGAGACAGTCCTTCACGAACGTCCCTAACATGAGTCCTTTCCGCGGGCTGCAGTTCCTCACAGACTTCCCCGGCGTGGGTCCTTTCCGCGGGCCGATCTTCAGTCCCAGCCTGCTCCAGCGCGGGCTTTCCCATGGAGTGGCGGCCATCTTGGGGGGCACCCACCTGCTCCGGCGTGGGCTCCCCTCCTTCCTCACTGGCCTCGGGATCTGCAGAGGGGTTCCTCTCACATTCCACTCCCACTACTCACCGCAGGTTCCCCTTCTTAAACCTGTTCTCCCAGAGGCGCGACCGCCGTCACTGAGGGGCTCGGCCTGGGCCAGCGGCGGGTCCGACTTGGAGCCAGGGAAGCTTCCAGCAGCTTCTCACAGGAGATTCCCCTGCAGCCCCTCCCCTGCTACCAAAACCCCGCCACACGAACCCAAAACAGTCCGGTAGCAGGTTTTGGAAGATACAGAGACAGCTCAAGGTGCTGTGAGTTAGGATAAACCATGTCAATGGAGCTTCCCCTGGGCAGGATGGTGTGGTGGAACCATTGTGAGCTGCGGAGGAGTGAGCTGAACCATCTGTCTTAAAGCACCAGGAAAGGGTTTTCCCGTCTTCCTCTACTATTAATGTGTGGCAAACCGCTCTTGCCCTCCATCAAACCTCCAGTGGAGGCAAATGAGGGCAGGCCATGGGTTCATGCTGATGAAGTTTGCTTTTCTAGTTACAGGAGGGTCACCTGATGGTCCGGCATTTCCAGTACCTGCGGTGGTCAGCGTATCGAGACACCCCGGACTCCAAGAAGTCCTTCCTGCACCTCCTGGCCCAAGTGGAGAGGTGGCAGAAAGAAAGCGGCGATGGCAGGACTGTGGTGCACTGCCTGTGAGTGTCAGCTGGAGATGAGGAGGCTCTGGTGCAGGGGGAGATGCCACCAGCTCATGTGTCCACAGTTCTGCCTGGAAAGCCTCTAAAAGGCCCTCATCAGGGTGACTTTGTCCCCAAGTAGCGCCCTCTCCCACAACATGAGTTTTGGGTGAGGTACTTTGTGGTAACTAGGTCAAACCTCCTCCATGAGATGGATGCTCAGTAGGAGTGACACCCAATAGCAGCAACCCCACCATTCATACTGGTCCCCTGCCTTGCAGCGGGGCTCAGCACAGGTCCCAGCCCTGTCACCACGTCCCACATGTGTTAACAGGCTCCAAAGGGACGTGGCAGGAGCTGTGCAACTCCCACTGCTTCTCATTGAGGTAGACATGCTCTCCATCCCCCTCCTCCCAGCTGGGTTTGGCTCGCACAAACACCCGAGCGTGCTCTCCTCGGATGGGACCTGGCACGTTCACGGATTGGTAGAGACAGCAGGCGAGCCTTTAATCAAAAATTAATTACAGCCTTGTCTGTCTTCATTAGCCGAAGGATAATTTGAGAACACGCTTTATAAAACACTGGCATCATGTTCTCTCCTCCTCTCCCTGGTCCCCTTTGCTGCCAGGGATCAGATGTGGTGGTGTGGGATGGCTTCAGCCCAGGATGGGAGGAGATACCCAGCGAGCTGTGTGCTGGGTGAAACGTGGGATGGATCCTCCAGCCAACACTACCCAACAGGTCATCAGTCCAGGGTCACCCTGCAGATGCGAAGAGGGTGGTAGAAGGACACAGTGGCTTCCCCAAGGTCACACGAGGAATCGGTCCATGACAGGGCTGGAAACAGAGCCCAGATGTCCAAGACCCAGCCCTGATGGTCCAAAAAGGTGTTTTCATGCTCTTTTGTGGCTCTTGTGAGGACCAGAGGGCAGGATCACAGCTCCTGCCACCATGTGGGTCTGGTTCAGGTCCCCCAATTTGGGAAGATACTGCGGTATGAGCCCCTGCTCTGGGTCATCTCCTGGGATGCAGGGATGGGTAGAGGAAGGGGGAATTAGAGGGAGCAGGAAGATGCTCTAATGCTATCTTCTCACCACTGACATGTATGTTTCCCCCACCAGGAACGGAGGTGGCCGGAGCGGCACCTTCTGTGCCTCCACCATGATCCTGGAGATGATCAAATGTCACAACATGGCAGATGTTTTCTATGCTGCAAAGACCCTCCGCAACTACAAGCCAAATATGGTAGAGACCTTGGTAAGCACCAGACACAGCTGGCATCCACCCTGGCCGCTGGTTCCCACGCATCCCTCCAGCAGGGAGGAGAGGTGCTGGGGGATGCTCACCTCCCCAAAAACCTCCTTTCCCATTCCAAATCCTGATTAGCATTATGGGCATCGTCATGCAGAACATGTCTCTGTGAGCATGCCAGTACTGTGGCGTGGGCTGGGGCGGACAGGGAGGCGAGGCAGCTCTTGAAAGCAGCTTTAGGCTTGCCTTCATCTCGCCGTGCTGACATGCCCTTGGCGTCAGCGCTGGGCTTGTCGGAAATCCTTCCCAGGAGTAATAAGGCAGGTTCACATTAATTCACGGGATGTAATTGTAGTTCTTCAGAGGGTTTGCGGTGCCGGGAGCAGCTCTGTGGTAGAGTCAGACTAATTCCTATTGGAAACATAAAAGGGAACTGCATTTTGAGTGAAATTAATTGGTGGAGAAGCTGCTGGGGGCAGCGATGAAGCCACATTTCATGATGGGAAGGCTGGAGGTGGCAGCGGGTCTGGGTGAAAAGCCTGTGCCCTATTTCAGGCCCTGGATATAGGACAGGGGATAAAGCAGGTGTGTGCCCGTCCCTGTGATGGAGGAATCCAGGTGCCTAGTGATATTTTAAAAGCAAGTCAGCCGGAAATGTTTACCCTGTTTAGATTATAAAATCCCTAAGTTGCAAAATGAAATGGTTTTGAAGAGGGGATGTGATTTGCATTAGGAATTAAAGTGGAGGAGAAGGTGAGGGAGGGGAGAGGGGAGCAGAGGGAGGGATGCAGATAATGGAAAGATGATGTGACAAGCATGAAGCCACCAGGCCCATTGGGCTAAATTGCAAAGGTATTAAAAAAAGGCAACATTTCACATCAGGACACAAGCGTCCTCCAGCCTCAAATGAACCTGAACCGTCTATTTTGGGAATCCCAATCTACTGGAGTCACTGGGAGGCCGGATCCTCACCCAGTGTAAAGAGCCACAGCCCAGCAGAGAGCAGCCAGCGCATAGCAGTTTCCCACTGCCTGTGCATCTTCCCCCTCTGTTTGCCTGTGGGGTTTATTTTTATATGATGATAAATGGAAACAATCCCTTTTCTTAATCCAAAAAGCATTATGTCCTTTCAATCTAAGCTGTTGCAGCCTCCTCGCTTTGAAGCCCTTCTCCCCTGCTGCCCACTCCCACCTGGGGTCCCCAGGCAGCCACCCACCTGCGTGGGGAATAACAGGATTTTCATGCCGGTGCTCAAGCTGCAATCCCCATGCTGCTGCTGAGGATTTTGGGAGATGAACTCTCCCCTTTCCTTGCCTGCTGTTACACCCGGAATGCTCCCACCTGATGTCCCAGCACTTGCAGCAGCATCAGAAATCTGATTTATTTGGGGTTTTTTTCCCATTCTGGCTGGTTTTGCTGGTTGATGCTTGAAGGAGCAACATCTCATGGGGATGGGTGCCTCCAAGATCTGAGCTCCCCCATAGTGTTTTGTACTGTGAGTTGTACGAGGACAGGAGAGCACAAGAAAAGGTCATGTAAAGGAGGACAAGGATGGAAGAGACTGCCTTCGCGAGCTCAATTTCAGTGATTTTTGCTATAAAACCAGGAGCCAGCCATGCTGGGCTTTCCCTTTGTGCAGCTGGGGAGCCAGCTAGGGAGGGAGCAAAGGGTGGGAAGATGCTGACATTGTCCATAACTGTCTTAGGAAAGGGAAAGGATGGGAGAGTGAGCCTGGTCCTGCCGTGGGCTCAGAGAGGAGTTTTCCCACTTGCACCCCTTGGCTCTAGCCCGGCTGTCGCAGGTGGGTCAGACTTCAACCTGAGCACCAAAATGCTTACTTGCTTGGTGTTTCCCTTGGGAAATTTGGATTTTTGGAAGGGAAAGCTCCTGGGACACCCTGTTGCACCTCTCCCCCTATGCCAAGCAAATGTCCAGACCAAATCCCCACCAGGGATGGAAAATGGCATTTTTTTATCTGCATCAGGAGAATTTATGATGAGAAATGTCCTGGCAGCTGGAGCAGGGCGTCTCTGGTAATCCCACACCCGGACCATGGATGCTCGCCTGGGCACGCTCCCCATTTGCAGCCTCTGCTGAACTAAAAAATGAAAACTCCTTGATTTCATGCCCAGGGTTTTATTTCAGACACCTCTGAACCCGGACCCCATCATTCCCATGGCTCTGCCACCATCTGATTGACAAATGTCAATCACTGCGGTGTGGGAGGGGGGCGGACATGGGTGAGGCTGGCCAGTGGAGGCTGCCTGGTGCTGCCTGCTTTGTACCCTGGTGTAGTAAATAAAGCATATTTTCATGGTAAGGGAATGTCACAGTCCTTGTCTGTCCTTCGGGGGAGGCGAAGGTGCTGCGTGCCCCCAAAATGCAGGAATGGGGCACGTGCGGTGCCTTTGGATCTGGGAGATGGTCATCCCCTTCCCCAGCAATGGGCATCGTTTGCCGAAAGTGGAGTTTCTCCTGGCTGTTGCTTCAGCAGGACTGTCACGGGGGCACAAGAGAGGGATGCAGCCCCCAGCGAGGGGTGACGTGTGTGTTCGTCCCACAGACCCCCTCCCAGGCTTTTCCTTAGGGCTATTGAAACTTATTTTACCTTGAAAAGGGATGGCTTTTGGGAATAGTTTATTCAGGATCATAACATCCTCTCTTCTCTCTCCAAACAGGAGCAGTATCATTTCTGCTATGACATAGCACTGGAATATCTGGAGTCCTTGGAGACCAGATAGCACCTCGCCATGAGAGGGGCAGCTAGGGCTTGCGCAGGGGTCGTGCCAACCGTGCATTTTGCACTTGGACGTTGCATTAGTGCTGAAGGTGAAGAGGGAAACAGCAAAGGACCCAACGAGAAAACCCATCAGATCAAGAAAAACGAAAGGACGTCAGGACGTGTCAGCCGCTCCCCATCTTCATCCTCCGCTCTCCATCTTTCCTTCCACCCCAAGCGTGTCCGAGCAGCCGTGGGTTGGATGCCACAACTCGTCCTGTCCCTGCATCGCTTTGAGTCATGGTCGTGGGGTCGGTGTGCGCAGGATGCAGCCCCGCAGTGCTGCCTGGACATCTCTAAAGCAGCTGGAGAGGAGGCCAGGGAGGGGAGGAGGAGGACAGAAGGAGCCGAGGCCATTTTCCAGCAGGGAAGGGTGGATATTTGGAGAAGAGACGTTGCTTTTTTAATTGTGCGTGGAATTGAAGCTGCTCTTCCAAGGAGCCCAGACAGCTGCCAGCAGGTTTTGCCCTTGGTGGGGACATGCTCTGAGCCGGAGCAAAGACCCTGAGAGGAGCTCTTGAGTTTCTGCCCGTTCATACCATGAGTTTGATCTTTGCTCTTTTTAGTTCTGTGAGTTGCAACCCTTTGTGTATCCAGCCCTGGACAGAGTGGGGATGAGGGACAGGAGGTGGGGGATCAGGACTCAGTGGCTGCCTGGGCTCACGCTGTGGCACAGGGGGCACTGGGCAGGCGATGTCCTTCTGCAGGGACTGACCCAGACCCCTCCTGGTGCCTTTGCAGAGCGTTTCAAGCGATGGTTCCCCTGCATCTGCACACCATCCTCTCCATCTGTAGCAATTAATTCCTTCTGGGCTGACCCAAAGGCACCAGCCCACAGGTCCATTTTTAACCCCTACCTTGTGAATTGCTGCACATGAGACACCTTTGGTGCCCAGAAACAAACCCCTTAAAATTCGGGTCCATCCCATATGCCTCCTGGATGCCACCCCCAGGCGGTTGCCCATCAATGCTGCTTGGCTTTTGCCAGGGTTGGGGAAGCAGGACGGTTGATTTTGGTGATGGCATTGGCGTGGGGTGAGCTGTGCTGAAGCCCTGAGCCATGGCAATGCTTCGGGGCTGGGCACGGGGAGGTCCCCATGCCCCTGGTGCCACCTGGGGACAAGCATATAGGGCTGGTGATTGAAGGTCCCTGATACTTTTTTGGCTTTATCCTGCTGCAGGTGGGTGTGAGATGTCACATTTTCTGTCTGGTACTGTGATAATTACAGGAGTTTCTGCTTACAGCCTGGTTGTAATAAAGCTGTGGTCAGGGTTTTCTCTCTTTGCAAATGGCCTCAAGAAGGTGCAACCAGAGGGACGCAGGTCAGGGGTCTGCCTCGGAGACTCGAGGAGCCGAGGGAAGGTTGCTTCTGTCTTGAGGGCCAGGCAGAACCCTTCACAGTATTTTTCGGGGGATGGAGCAAAACAGATGAGAAACTGTCCTCTGTATGCTGGAGGTTGCATGTGGGCAACCCCATCCTTCACTCCCCTGCCATCCTTCATCCCCCCACCCATCCTCCGTGCTCCCCCATCCTTCAGCCCCATCTCCCCAGGGCAGGGGAATCTTCCCTGCCCTTCCTGCCTGGAGGCTGGGGATCCATCTCGCTGGGGAGTTGCATTCCGATCCATACCATGACTGAAAGCTTTGGAAGGCGCCATTTGGCTGGAGCAAACTGCAGCACGAAGGCTGTAGAGCTGAAACGGCTGTGCCCTGGATGAGCAAACCCAGGAGGTATTTCCATCCACCTTCCAAGGGGGGAGGAGAGCAACAAGATAAATCTCTGCCCTCTCCACTTTGGAGGATGTCCCACCCGCTGCCTTGCAGACGCCCAGGGGTGGTGATGGGGATTTCAGCAGCATCGGGAAGTTTTGCCCAGACACTTGGCTTTCCCACATGCTCGCCAAATAATTCACATGGCCTGACAATAACTTATTCCAAGGGCTATACAACATTATTCCCCTTCTTTCCATCTGTGCTGTCTAACCCTGCCGTGGACCCATGCTGTCTTGTGACCAAATAGTCTTTTTACCCCACCAGATCTTGCAAAATGGTCCAGTTACACCAGTACCTGGTGACACCAGTACTCGCATCGCAAGCCTTGACTTGGAATAAATTAGTGTCTTTTTCCCAATCCCCATCTTTCTGTAGATGTGTCTGTGCTGTCCTAGGGCGCTGCAGGGAAGGCGCTGTATGGTGGGTGCAGAGAGAGGTCCCAGGGTGCAGAAATTCTTTGGTTTTGTATGAAAATGGCTGAGCTGAATCTCTGAAATTCCTGGCAATGGGATCATGATGGCACTGTTTAGCCCCGGAGCCTGGGGGCTGGAGGGATGCTGCTGCTTCATCCCAGACATCCCGGGAGCCTGGGCCACCTGCATCCTGCTCAGGTCCAGAGGGAGGGAGCATCCCACAGTGCTTTGCAGGTAAAGTGTTACCAGAAGAAAAAAAAAGAAAAATTGAAACCCCATTTAGTCCTAAAGAGACTACAGAGACTGGAGGAGTTGTATATATGTTTTAAAAGCGAGATTTTTTTTTTTTTTTTGATACCTCCTTGCTGGATGTCTCTGGGTTTTTAGGGCATCTCTTGTGAAGGGCAGACTTTGAAATCAAAGTGCTATAAAAACCAACCGATCTCCAACTCCTACTGAGATGCTTATATGACATGAGGCAAGGACATGTACATAGAAATATATATATAGAAATATATATATAAAAATATAAATACTGTTCTTAAGATGGATAATGTTTATTGGTATTACAGATTGGAGTGGTGCTTTTTTTTTTTTTAATAAAAACAAAACAACAACCAAAAAAAAAAAAGAAAAAAATTAAAACCCAGGAAAAATACCAAATTGGAACGATTTTGTCTATATGCAGAAAAAGTGATCCTGAAAGCTGGCAGCATCCAAGAGCTGCTGCCAAAGGGACTGGTACCACAGGGCAGCTCCCCTGTGGAAGAGGATGGTGCAGTGGGACCAAGGGAGGGATGGCGAAGGAGGGACACATCTGATGTGGATTGTACCACACACACCCAGCTGTTGTTAACTGTTTTTTTTATTATTATTTTTGGCTTTCTTTCCTTTTAAGAAAATCAGTTGCATAAATAAATGTTCCAAATTTGTGATGGCCTCTGGATTTCTTTCTCTGGCTCTGGTCCAGGAGCTGTGTTGTAGGGAGCCTGATGCAGATACCCACCAAGCAGCTTGTAGAAGAGATCTCTGTATTGGCTGTATCTTGCTTTTCAAGGGTATTTTGGGGGAGCACATTTGCAGGGCCAAATTCCAGGACTGCAAAACCTTCATGGCACAGAGGAGCTATGTTTGCCCATCACCATGCAGAGGAGATGGGGTTGCCTTGTGCTTGCAGAGCTTTGCTGTGGGTTTCCTCTTAATAACAGCACGGTGAGATCTTGGCCCAAGCAAGACCTGCCAGCCAACCTGTGGAGGTTGGACGGCTGCAACTTCATGCAACACTTCTGATGGAAGTTTTCCATTGCGGGAAAAGGTGTTACGGAGGAAGAAGAAACTCTTTTCAGTGCGTATCCCAGCTGGAAAATGAAATCCTATTGTAAGAAAAGCCTTCAGGAGAAGAAAGCTCCTGCATTGTCTTTGGTGATTTATTTATTACAAAGCAGCCTTCAGTTAAATGTGTTGTGATATTAAACACTTCCAGTAACACTTGAGTCTTAATTTAATGGAGACCAAGGGAAAAAAACAATCTAATTGACTTGTCAGGACTGTTTTTCATCTTTAATTAAGGTTCGTGAAGGATGTGGTAATTACATTTTACCAATAAATAATAAAAAGGGGGATAATGCAAATTAAAATCAAGACCTGCACTTGGGTAGGGCTCTAGGTGTGCACGTTGCCTCTGAGCTGCAGGGTCAGCCCTTGGCAGGGGTGTCCCTGGGGGTGAGCTCCTTGTCCCCAAGCCCTGTGGTGCTGTGCTGGAGGGCAGGGTGGCCTTGAGCAGTGGCAGCACCCTGGGTGCCGGTGGGGGGACGAGCTGGGCTGGCCCCTGCAGCCCTGCAACCTCCAGTGCCCTGTTCTCTGGTGGGGGGGGATTGGGGCTGTTTGGGGACATCGGCCCCTGCTCGGGGAGGGGCTCTGTGCTGGAGCAGCTTCCCAGCAAAGCTGTAGTCCCCAAGCCAACAGCAATGTCTCACTGCTGCCTATTCCTTTCCCTTCCCACTTACTATCCGTGGTGGTGACTGTGTGCAAAATAACCAACCCTGAAACCAAACAAAACTGGAAAGCATCTGATAAATTTGGATCTCTAAAAAATAAGGGAAAGACAGCCTTCTTCAAGGTTATTGCTATGTGGCTCGGAGCAGCCGGCTTCCCCAGCTCCCCAGCAGCAAACAGCCCGGCCGCAGGGCACACAGCCAGGCTGGCCACCAGCTTGGTGGCTTGTCCATCCAGAGCTGCTTTTGATTTCTTCGGTGCCCAGTCACCCTCCTCTTCTTGGTCCCTTCCCTGCTGGAGCTGGAGCCTCATGCTTCCCAAGCTGTATTTCAGCCACAGCTCATTGGGCACTTGCTGTCACTGGCAGCTAATGATGAAAAAACCTTTCCCCCTGGTTTTATGAAAGCCATCATTCCAGCGGCTGGTCCGTAATGAAGGGAGAAACAGCAGCTGCTCCCTGGGGCCCTGCTCCCACCAGGGATGATGAATTGCCCCTTCTCCGCTATGCCCCATTAAAGTAAAAAAAAGAGCTGTTTCTGTGGGGACAAGGGTGGTGGTGACCGGGTTTGGTGGCTCTTTGAGGCTCAGGGAGATGGGTGGCATCACTTTCCTTCCTTGCTTCATCCCTGCAACATCTCGAAGAGGCATGGGCAGCCCAGGAGAGCCAACGGGGAACTATCACCATCCCACGGAGCTGGGGCAGGACCAGGAGTCCAGGTTCCTGTCCCATGGAGAGGTCTCATGAAGATGTCCCATGGAGATGTCCCTCCTGTCCCAGCTCTGGTTCATCAGCGTATCCCAGTGAGTGACGTGTTGGTGGGTAGCCCGGGGATGGGGATGAGATGGAGAGAAACTCCTCTTTCCCCAGTGTGCAGAGCCAGGAGTGCCTTGGCACAGCCGTAGGCGCCCGGGTCTGGCTGCAGCTCTTCACTGGGCATGGGTGGATTAGAGCGACTTGACTTAAAAGGAGCACTTTGCATTTCAGTAGCT